TCTGTCTCTTGTGATATTTGAGGAGGAACTAGGTAGGGATGATTAGATGTGCCCTAAACGTCATCCGTTATCCGAAAATCCAGGGAAATAATGGCCTTTCACATAATGATTTGCCTCTACAATGTCCCGCCACGATTGAATTTTTTCTTGTAGTTGTTCCAAGTGTACTGAACACGTCCCATTTTAATTCTGGAAACCAGAAACTCTACGCTCTTTGCCCAGTCTCGGCCAAAGGTATTTACCAAATAAACATTATGTTTTCATTGGAACATACTGAGGAAGAAAAAATGAAAAAAACATGTTTAAAAACTCAATATTTACACTATGGGCTGGCCAATGGGCGAGAATATGTTCCTTTACTTAAAACTCATGTTTTTGTTTCGCAATACATAAATGTATTTCTTTCAAGTATCATGACACAAAATTTGACTCATTTTAACTTAACTCAACGATCTTATAGCGATATTGAAATGTTTCGCCCATCGGCGAGAAAAAGGTTTGGCCCATGGGCAATTCCATGGGCGAGAATGTTTTTCTTTACTCAAAACTTTTGGTTTTGTTTCGCAAATACATACAGGTGTTCTTACAAATTTCATGATAGATAATGTAACTCAATTTAACTTAATTCAACTAATTTGTGACGTGTAATTAATTGTGGGCAACGTATATTGTGTCCTGTGAACTATACTTTATATTATATATTATTACATTACTATTTAAAAAGGGCATTTGGTTGGATGTTTCCTATATAGAAGTTTTACAAATTTCACCTTTTTTACATACTGTAACGATCTATAATGAACCCGGCCTTACCTCTCAAAACGTTTTGATAGTTTATCATATGAATTCATGCGCGTGTACTCCAATTCATTGGCGTTATTTTCCACAATATTAAAGTTTAGTTAGTTTCTTTTTCATTTCCCATTTTATGTCTCCTTGTTGCATCACACTGGGCAATTAAGTGACATTAGGTATGCAATATACTGGTGCGCGTGCACGTATTTTACTGGGGAAAAAAAACGATTCGTCTTTCATTGCATAACGTATGGCTGAATATCTCACATTCTAATGAAATCTCGGAATAATTATTAAGTTATATGAGGTGTCGAACTGACCATTGGGAATTATGTTTAAAGGCGATTGAGGAAAATTTGAGTGAGTATTATGACACTAGAGCAACTTTTAAATGCATTGCCAATTTTGGTGTGAAAATGTGAACAAGTTAAAAAAAAATCAACAGCCTCATATTCTCATTAGTACGTTGTATCTAATTACAGTGTCGGCCTTATTTACAGGTGATTCTACAATACCTGCTCTTGTTCAATTACAATCTACCACACCAAACGGGAATTAACGGTTATGCATGGATACATTTTTTCATTAATTTGTGGATTTATTGAGCACAAAGACAACAGATTTATGAAAGATAAATTGGTGCTTTGATGTATTCAACGAATTTTTTATTTTCTCCGCGTTACTGATGTGTTTCATCGTTTAATGGGTCATTCATTAAAAGTATGTTGTGATGCGATATCAAAGGCGCCTCCCAATATACACAGCGTCGTCCGGTGAACTACCACCCCACCCTGTCAGTAAGACTTATGTAATCGGTACACAAATATCTTTGATGCGCTGTCAGTGTGGAAAGAGTTTGAATTACGTCCACTGGCAACAGAAATCCTCAAAGTATAGTAACAATCAACAAGGCAAATGCCGAACTTATAATTACCTAGTGACGCACGAAAAGACGGCTGTAAATCTGTCTGCTACAGCTACCATGCCATCAGCCTTGTCACAACTGGCGTATTAACGGCTTATTCAAAACATTAATTGTAAAAAGTTCGCTTACAGTCTAAGGTATGCAGTCCTCAACTGGATGTTTCATACCTTATATCAGCTACCGACCCTGTTTGTGAAAATATGCACTAGACATAAGATTAAAAGACTAATAAAATCAATTTTAAGACCGTATAGACCTCAAAACTATGTCTTGGTATCATCTCTTGTGTATTAGATGATGGTAATGACCTGAAATGTTATACCGTTAGATTAGGAAGGTGAAACATGAAAGTGTTATATAATACTTGGGAACTTGGGCAATAAGATGTAGCAACATAAACATGCATGGAATAGGGAAAATGATGAAAACAAATTGAAAAGGATTTTATGAAACATTATTGTACTTGCAAAAGCGGTGAACAAAATTGTTTGACTAGCAAGGAATTGTCATGTTGTACGCATGGTTCCATATACAAATTCAGATATACAACCGGTATGAAGCTGAGAACTGAGATGCCATGTATAACCTGCATTCACACACGGAAGCAATATACTTGTGTGTGTGCCCCCTCCTCTTAAAAAAATGTATCACTGAAGTATTTGCATTGTAACAAATATAGTAATTAATAAAACTTGGTAATTTGATTGGTCTCAGAAGATTTTCAGTTTTTTTTACAGCTTTGATTGATACGGATTACGTACATGTAGTCACTGTCTCTAATGTATCTGCAGGCTGGAAATTTCAAAACTCATGTTGAAACACTGTTCCTGAAATAAGGCAGTTTCTTTTATTGGGTATAAATAGTTGATTGGTCTAGTAACGCAGTCATTTGTACTTGATCGAATAATTTCCACGAAACATTCTAGCAGAATTTTGTATTTTATCATATACATGTATTGTTAATTGGAGAATATACTCAGAACGCAAAACTGATAACATTCAAACATGTAGTACACAGTGAATTGTTACATATAATTTCCTGCATGTTGTTTTTTAATAAAAAGCCTCTATGTATACTGTAATTGGTGTCCACTGTTAAAAGGGTATTAGTGGAGTCAGCCATGGTAAATGGAGAGACAATAATAAGGTGAATAATTATAGTCTGTTGCAGAATATGCGGTATAAGTGAAGTCATTTATACATACATATTACACATATACAGATGAAATACAGGATATGACACAGTGCAAGAACAAATTAAGATAGGATTCTATTTTAAATGAATACATGATTATGTATTTAATTAGCATGTTTAATGATTACGGTCTACATACATCTTCAAACAAGTTTTACAGGCTAACACGGTTGAGATACAGCATCGGCATACTGAACTGGATTTTTTTTCTGGCGGTCGTAAGTTCAGTGTTTGACTGAGCACACTTGTATCGGGGCTGTGTTTATAACTTGTAGATGTTGGGACTGTTAGGACCAAACATTTTCAGTTTAGAGTGACACTCTTCCCAGTGTTAGTGGGTCTGGAACCCGTGGTGTCAAACAGGTTCTGCACAATACGTCCATCAGATTTTATCTACTGTTCAGCAACATTGTCGCTGAATTTCAGAACTCTGGCATGATCAAGGATTAGGAAGGTGAACGAGGGGAAAGGCAGACGCACGTGGATTTACTGTAAGGTTATTATTGTCAGGAGTCCACATTTTTGGGCATTTCAGACACTAATTGAACAGAGTTAACCCGCACATGTCCACTTTAGTCAGACAGACTATAAACAAAAAATGCAATGAGCTGAAGCTCTTAATCCCTTATAACAACACCCAGGGGGAGGGCACAGTAAGGCTAAACCGTGTCCACCAGACAATATCAGGTGGCTAACGTCATATCTCCCATCAAGTCAGCTCTATTTTAAGCATAATTTAATTTTGTACATTTTGAATAAAAGAAATTTCAAAAAATTATATTTAACAAATCTACACATTACCAAATACAAACCATTATAACCCGTTCTACACTTCGTCCCAATTAACCTGGATCATTCAACTCGCTCGCGATGGTCGAAGGTTGTTTACGACTTGAAAGTGAATGCATCGACAGTGTACAAGTAACCTTTAACTGCATGATATATGTTCATGATAAGCATAAAATCACTAATCGGTCCAATAAAAGCAATTAGTTTCTCAGATATTCCGCTGTACTTGCTTTGGTTCACTCCCAATTGTCAGACGACCTAATCATCAGACAGACCAGTCAAGTGTGACCAGTGTACCTGCCTTGTTTGGCTTGCCCTCACTTACTTACTTTGGAGATTAACCGTGCGCTTTCCGACTGATGCGTATTTCGCACACGGGCCCGGCCAGGCCATTTAATGTGTTTCTGAAAGGGGCGAAAGTGGTCTGTGCAACCCAAGAGTGGGCTTTAGGGGTTGCTTATATAGAATTTGGGAATTTTGAGATTTGGAATAGATGCCGATGGGGTTGGGGAGGAGAACTAAGGGAGCTGGGTATGGTGGATGTTTGTTTGTTTATGTGATTTTGATTTGGTAGGTTATTGTGTTTTTAGATGCGTTTTATTAGCTCCGTTTTGATTAAGAATACGCTAAGGCCTTGAAGTTTTCTAGTTTATTTTGTGGGTTTAGAATTGCTTGCCCTCATCTGGCCTACACCTTATATCGCCTACACCTCATATGTCCTTCACTAAATAGTGGTATAGTATGGTACTGTCCATTAACCCATTAATGATTTCATTAATTAATATGAATTAATGACCTGAGTACATGGGCCTTTGAACTAATCCGATATTTGCATAGGGGTATCTGATCCTTGAGTTTGTTTTGACTGTTTATACAGGATTACTGTTATAATCCACTTTGATCACTTAACAGGTCTACTCATCTCAAAGGTTTTGTAAGTGTGTATACATTTCCTTACCTGATATAATCCAATGTGAGCATTTTAACAGGTCTACTCATCTCCAAACCTCTGTAAGTGTATGAATATACCTTAGTAAGTGCTATTGTTTCTCTTTACTTTGATCAACGAAATAGCTTTCACAATGTTAACAGGATCACCTCATCTCCAATTTAGGAATAGGTATATATACTAGTTTTTAAGTTTGTGCAAAAATGTCACATCTTCTGAATTCGTTACCCCACAGAGAGGCGGTCAGCAAGTACTACATGCTGGGTTCTGGTACAGGCTGAATGTCAAGCTGTAATTATATAACTTGCTGTTCACTGGAAGTGTATCACCATTGGCTGCAATTGCAGATACAGCACCACATTACGACCACATTACATCAACCAAGCCTCACAGTCATCCACCTACCGAGAATGTAGAACACATCCGCATCATCGCCAGAATGAAGGAGCAAGTGAAGACAGACATCATCCATGTGCAGCAGATCTACAACGCCGAACTCGACCGAGCTGTCGATGATGTTGCTGTTCCTCCGCCAGTGTCCAGGCTGCTCTCTACCGACACCGCTCCAAGTCCATCTCACCTCTCCCAGAATCCCGAGCCGCCGTCGACCTTCAAGAACCCTGGACTAAGACTGAAGATGGAAGAGACTTCCTGTGCATTAATGATGGTGTTGAAGATAGACTGTTAGTGTTTGCGACATCTGAGATGTTGGAGATTTTTAATGAGCAGGACACTATTTTCATGAGTGGGACATTCTTCGTGTGTCCTAGCTTGTGGCTGCAGGTGTACACTATCCATTGCCTTGTGGATTGCAAGATGTTCCCAATCGCCATCTCCCTACTCCCAAACAAGACCGACAGACCTATGTCCGACTGTTCACCTTGCTGAAAGATGTTGTTGGCACAAGGACTGGTGTAGACCTCTCTCAAGACCTCATCCAGACAGACTACGAGGCAGCTGTCATCAGTGACATCATGATGTCTTCCCAGCAAGTTCAGGCAGAGGATTTTTTTCCACTACGCCCAGGCTCTGTAGAGACAAGTTGTGGACAAGTTGAGGCCTGGCCCGAGACTACAATGACAACCCAGCAGTGCAGACCCACACCAGAAGAGCTGTTGCGTTGCCGCTTCTACCCCTAGCTGAAGTCAAAGATGCCTGGATTGAAGTGATGGAGCAAGGACCAGATGGGCAGCAGATCATCAGGTTCAACAACTACGTCACCAGCACATAGGTGGACTTCAATGCCACGTTCCCTCGAGCCCTGTGGAATCAACACAAGAACAACAATCCACGCTCCAACAACCATCTCGAAGGTTTCCACTACGGCCTGAAGAAGAGAATGCCGAGAGCCCATCCCAACATCTTCCAGTTTGTCATAGAACTCAAGAAGATCGAGACAGCAGATAGACTGTCAAGAAGGCAGATTGCACTTGGTGGTGCCATGAGCACTCATGCTTGTGTTGACAGAGACCGAGATGCAAGGATCGAGAGACTGAAGCAGCAGCTTGCTACTGGCAGAAGATCAGTGATCCAGTTTCTGGATGCAGTTGGACATTTCATCAAATTACAGTAATTTTGCTAGTTATGATGTTGTTCTAATGTTATAAAACATGAAGATGATGGATATAAATGTACAGTACTATGATAATACATGTGTATTAATGATATTTGATGTTGTGAAGATGATCTCATATACAAAATGAAATTACAAAGTATCAAGTCATTTACATTCTTTGTTATCTTGTTGGAAGAGTTCATTTTACTTATAGGGATAAGGGTACAAGTGTGATGTGCTCTCATCCATAAATATGTTTTGATAGTAGTGTAGGCGATATGAGGTGTAGGCCAGATGATGACAGGCCCCTGGTTTTACTTACTAATTACTGAGCTGCCCAATTCTGTCATACTGTGGGCAGAGTAAGCTACTCCAACTCGTTGAATGACATATATTAACCAGATTATGATTCTGTTTGTAAGTTGCGTTTGACATGTATCGGGTTGTAGGTGTTTTATTAGGCAAGACCAGGAGTAGTTTTTTTCAATGAAACCTTTTAACCGTTGAGTTTGTTTTTCATTAATTTCATTGAATACATAGTATAATCTCACATGTACTCTAAGTATCGTACTATATTACTCTGAGGAGACATTGAGTATCATTTTTGAGTTGGCATTGTATGCTGTCGGAATGACGTTACAGAAACCCCTGCGTCAATGGACCCGTGAAGATCCGGTGTAGAACAGATCTTCAGCAACCCATTCCTGGCGTATCAGGGCGAGTGCGCTTTTCGAAAGAGGCGACCAACGGGATCGGATGATCAAGCTCGCGGACTTGGTTGATGCATGTCATCGTATCCCAATTGCGTGGATAAATGCTCATGATGTCAATAACTGGATTGTCTGGTCCAGAATTGATTATTTACAGACAGCCGTCATATAGCTGGAATATGAGATATACGTTATGCAATGAAGGACCATTACACAATTAAGTTAAAATGAGTTCAATGATACATGAAAGAAATACAGTTATATTTCTGCGAAACAAAAACATGAGTTACTGAGTAAAGGAAAATATTCTCGCCCATGGGCCAAACCTTTTTCTCGCCGATGGGCGAAATGTTTCAATATCGCTATAAAATCATTGAAATAAAATGAGTTAAACTGTGTGTCATGATACTTGAAAGAAGAACATTTATGTATTTACGAAACAAAAACATGAGTTTTAAGTAAAGGAACATATTCTCGACATAGTGTAACTATTGAGTTTTAGAACATTTTGTTTTTCATTTTTTCTTCCTTAGTATGTTCAAATGAAAACAGCATGTTTATTTTTGTCAATACCTTTGATCGAGACTGGGCAAAGAGCGTAGAGTTTCTGGACTATTGGGTTTCCAGAATTAAAATGGGACGTGTTACAACTTATTCCTTATATTGCCAGAAACATAAATCATAACAAGACAATCCATTAAACTTCAAATTTCAATTATTTAAAGCCAACTATATGAACGCGGAAAGTCGTGATGCCGTGACGTAATCCGTCCCAAACATTCCATTTGGAGTAACATCCCTTGGTTTTACAAACGGCAGAAAATGTCATTCACTTAAAATAAAAATTGCACCCAGTAAATTTGGCGTTGGAAAGAAATCAAGACCCGGCTGATGCTAAAACATGGATTGATATTAATATTCTGTGAACGTTTGATGTGTTTGAGTCATAATACGGCTGCTGATGACGGGGATTACCGCTTGAGGCGGTGCGTTTGGAATTCCTGAAGCAATACACGACAAAATGGAGCTCAGTGATATATTTTGGTTAGTCGAGCATTCTCTATAATTGCTTCGAATGGACACTTCATTTCGGTGACACGACATATACATGATCTGTCTGACTTCAAGACTTGCATCATTCATAGCCTGAATCGATGTCCCTAACGATTTTTAATGTTATTTTTAGACATTGAAGAATCCCCCTAAAGCAGTTCCGTATGTCTCCGCTCGATTGACAACGTAATCACGTGACATACTGAACGACAGTCAGTTTGGTATTGTTCACCTAGGCGAGGTCACCTGCTTCAAACACACTTCTCATATGTCCCATGGAGGGGAATAGTGACTTTTTTCGCAGATTACAGCAAACAAAAACAACAGTTGTGCTCCTTATCCTTCCCCTGGTACAAATAATATTGTCTGTACCCATCCATGTGCATATTGACTGAGAGCCAAATTATGTTTCACCCAGAGCTTGTATCCAACAGCGGTAGAGACAGTTCGTATTATTTTAACGTTTTGTCAAATTGTGGAACTAACAATTCGAAGAAGTTGCATGCAATATAACTTTGAATTGTATTCAAACATAAGTGACACTGAAGTGGTATGCTCTTGTCAGCTGATGGCTTCGTGCGAAGCTCATGAGACGAGTGGAAACTGTTTGCCGACTGCCGCGTCTTCCAGGTATGGTGTCCTTAAAACGGATGAAAATATTTCCTCCTTTGGGCAGAAAATGTATGTTATTTGGTAAGTCAGGGTATTTAAGTAGTCATTGATTGGTGGGTGATTTCATAGTCTTATTATGCGAACCCTTTAAATGACGTTATTTAGGAAATTGTACATTCAGCATTTTGCAGAGAAATATGTGATGTTTCGACTGTAAAGTTTTGAATTATTATGATATACATGTAGTACATTTCGTTGAGTTAACCATAGTCAAATTGTCGAAACTTATGTTAAATAACGTATAACAAAGGTGTCAGAATGAAATTGCTATTACATATTATATAGTATATATATCGGGTGCAAAGCCACGACATTAAGTGAAGTAATGTCGGACATGTAAGAAAACGGCTTGTTGTCGTGATTTTGTATCGAAATATGATATTGATCCACCTCAGAGGATATTGATCCACCTCAGTGGACATTTCCAAATTTGACGCATCGCTGACAAAAATTATGTCCGATGCAGTTCCCTATTTTGACTAGAAACATATGTTCCCGTGTTCTTTTTCAAGTGAACAATTACCTTGCCTGTGCATGTGTTTGTGACGGAGGCCACTGGTGGTGAAGAATACGCTCTCCATTTTCCATGATAGGGATTCATTAACTCACAGTCATGACATAGTCGGAATCGTACAATCGACTCTGTATTTGGCAGAGATTTCTCATGAATATGAACAGGGTTTCATCGCTTTATGTAAAAGTAATGAAAAATAGAATTACGTCACAAATGATATTTCTGATATCACTAAGACGCATCCTTCTGTTCACAAACTATGCTGATATCCATTCTGATAAACGTGAGCTGGTTCGTCTGTGGCTGGTGTCTGAATTCTCTTACGTATGTGCGCGAGCGAAAGATCTGGCTCAAAACATAACATATTTTTCCCTCAGTAAATTGGCGATGTAGTTGATAGATTTATCATTGCACTGCCCCGAACATATGTTATGAAAAGAACAACGTTGTATAAGGTTTATCTGTTTGATGAAGTTAGGCATTGTAAATATCATTCCTTGACATGAGTAAAATCTGCTTTCATATGTTACATTTATGTACCAGTAGGTCAACGGGCTCACCATATGTTCAATGGAACTAAATGAAATTGCATTTCATGGAAAAAACTAAATTTACCCTTAACTTCAGTTTGGACCTTAAAGACACACGTTGAACATTCAATGCAGTAAGATTACCTTATTTACATGTCATAGCTATTTTTAACACACTGATCATATAATGTATAACCGAGGCAATGACCTAGGTGGTTTCACCACAATTTTACTTCACAATTAAATTACTACGGTAAATCAGTCAAAAGAGGTCTCACTCCGTTCAGTCATGATTTCAAAAAGAGGAAGAGCATGCCCATAAAGCAATAACAATCTGAAAATTGCCTGAAGAGAAGTAATTTGTTCAGTAATGAATAAAGAAAGAATAAAGGACACGTGCTGTAAGTCACTGATCACGTGATACAACTCGAATCAAGTAATTATTCAGCACTCGTTGAAGACATCCCTGTGTAATGAATGTATTACACATTGTGTAATAACATCAAGCACTGGACGCACTAATTGCGGTCGTTCCATGGTCATTCGCGAATGGGTCGTCGGTAGCACTGCACAACTGCGCGCAACATTTACTTTGTCTGTTTATCACCTTTCAATACACACTTCTAATTCTCAAGAAAACAACGTAGAGATGCATTGACAAAATATGCATGCAACTCATGACTCGAATTGTGTTACTTGATTGTTATTATTGCAATATCCTTTGATCTTGTGCAGGATTTGAACATATACTCGTATTTTAAATCGACAGAGTATACAAGCCATCAAACTTGGATTGTAGTAAGGCATGCATGGGCATTGTAAATCAATAACCATCGAAATATTTTGTCTCCGCATCATAACATTCATCGCCAGAATGAGTCGTCATGTAACTTTTGGTGCTCCATTATTGGTGCGTGAGTGAATTTGGTTAATCAACTCTTTGAATAGTAATTTCTATAATATTACGTCATGTCAGCTTTACGTGGGAGGATAGAAGAAGGTCTAAGGTATTCCACTTTGTCGAAGCCAACGAGCACAGATAAGGCGAATCTGAAATTCGGTCACACGATAATAAGTTTCAGAGCGAACTGCGGCGTCTGAGACGACTTGCCCACCTGTGATCTCGTCATTGTTCAACCACTGGGATGTCGGAAACATATGTACAATGTATTACCAGGTCGTCAAATAGAGACAAAAGTCTATGTATTATCAGGTGCAAATTCTTACACAATCCTTATTCCTTTTTCCAACGTTAAACTCAGACAATTTGCAAAATATACGTGAGTTGTTAATAAATAACTATTCTCGTCCACGTCAGATATTCTGTTTCTAGAACAACTCGTGTGTTAAACTCGTAATATAAATGGTTTCTGACGGAGACTCATTTCGTAATCTTTATATGATCAATTTTGTAAGACATTCTGATATATGCATAATGAGACATAGTCATATGAATAGTAAGTAAGTACAGCTTGACAACATGAATAACATAAAACTGTTTTCATTAGACATAGCATATTTTATTCATGAACAAATAAATTTAATACTTCCCTATTATATGGACGTTAAAGTTAACTGTCAATATGAAGTCTGAATCCGCGACTGCAACAGGCACAACTAAATGTCCTGAGGCCATATCGATGAACTTGATACACCAACCTTGAAAATGTTCATCTGTCATCGCGAGGGAGTAGATAAAAAGTATACATGTCTTCTGTGATGCAATCTGTTTGTTATGATGTGAGTTATTCATTGGTGTGTATTCTTTTCCATTTTCAGACATATCATGACTTCTGTGGTGATCCTATGTTTTGCATCCGTTCTACTTTTCATACAAGGTAAGTTTGACAAATATTCATTGTTTCATCCACTTATCTGCTTCAAAAGAGCAGTTTAATATCGTGTCACTGATTGTTTACAGGCCGCCGCCGTATGGCAGGAGTGCTACTGCGCGGCGTAAGGCTCCAAACACTTTTGTATGCAAATTGTGTGAGTGTCGGGTGCTAGCCTTTTTAGCGAATACGTGGTGTCAGCACTGATTTTCAGTGATCCATTTATGTAATTGTCACCACTATCTTACCTGTTTATGCTCAATGATATCTGTTTTGCCAGATAATCTCTGGCGTTGACGTTCCATATTTTGTAAATAAAGCAGATATAGTATTCCCCGAATAGATGTTATTCAATCTGAACATACTTCAATCAGTAACCTGGAGATGATTTTATTGAATGAGTGAGTGAGTCTGGTTTTAGCAATATTACAGCAATATCACGGCGGGGGACACCAGAAATGGGCTTCACACATTGTATCAATGACTGGAATCGAACCCGGGTCTTCGGCGTGACGAGCGAACGCTTTAACCACTAGGCTACCCGACCGCCCCGAGATGATTTTATTGCCTTGTAACAGGCATGGACAGAATATCCTACAAATTTATTTATCAACACATTTCACAAATATACATTCAGCCTAGAAGTGGTCTAAAGAGTTACTATTTGCTGTCATCGCTTTGCCAGCTTTTTTATGTTATCCTGATTTGAATATGTTTTGTTTTCCGCAACACCCTGCAATCATGGTCAGCAATGTGAAAACTGTAGCAAAACAGGTGCATGTGTATCAAAGTGTTACCCTGGGTATTTCAACAAGGAATGCACGTCGAAATGCAGCGGTCGATGCAACCATCATTTATGTAAACTCACAAACAATGGCTTCGATGAATGCATCCTTGGCTGTATTCCACGATTCCAGGGTATAAGCTGCAACATACCATGTGAACATCATAGACAGTGTACAGAATGTAAAGGAGGATGTGTCGGCAACTACTGCCAGCTGGGTTCAGTCTGTGTTTCTGAATGCGTGGACTCCTACCATGGCCTTGACTGCAAGAACTGCTCTGAACAATGTAAATCGTGTAACAGAAGCACAGGAATATGTGCCCAGTGTCATTCTCCATACACTGGCCCCAACTGTGAGATGCCATGTGAGAATTGTAAAGGAACATGCAAGGCTGGATGCGAAGGAGGCTGTAAACCTGGATTTTATGGTCATTGGTGTGACAAGGTGTGTGGTGAAAACTGCCGCGCCGGCCTTGACGCAACTTTTGAGCTAGAATGTGACAGAAATGTCTCCAACACGTGCATCCTCGACTGCGACAAGAAGACAGGACATTGCATCCACGGTTGTAATCCCGGATTCTATGGCCATTGGTGTGAAAAGGTTTGCAGTGAAAACTGCCTCCCAGACCCCAACGGAACTACTTCATCCGCATGTGACAGAAATGGCTCCAACAATTGCATCCGCGAATGTGACAACAACACAGGAGATTGTATCCACGGTTGTAATGTCAGATGGCATGGTACTAACTGCTCATCTCGCTGTAACTCAAAGTGTAGAAATCTGTTCTGCGCTGAATGAGGAGTGTGTGTAGATGGTTGTGCACCAGGATATGCTGGGACTGATTGCTCATGCTATGAGAACTGCATCGATCATGTTTGTCACGCTGAGAACGGAACCCGTGCAAAAGGGTGTAACAAAGGTTATTATGGTGCATTTTGTAGTCACTCCTGTGAGATATGCATTGATGGGATTTGTGACCAGGAGTTTGGAACCTGCACAAAGGGATGCAAAACTACTGATCATGGATGCAAATCCACCTTTTCAAGTGACTGTTCGATAGACATCTGGCGAAATCAAAGTACATGTTGTGAGGTAATATTCATTTCAATAATAATACTAAATGTAATTATTAGTATCAATTTTCTCTCCCTGAATATTGATTTTATTCTGAGACAATTTTCGTTTATGCTTTGAAACAATTTGACGTTTGAGTTGAGTTTAACACAGCTTTGAACTGTATTTTTTTTTATTTCTGCAGCAACGACGATACACAGATATATGATAGACTTGAGGAAAAATTATTTTTTAATGACGAAATATTTTAAACATTATACATGAAAAAAGAGAACAAGGGTGGAAGATATTGATATATTTCGTGTCATCTTAACATGTCTTATGTTGAGTACAAATACCATGTATGTCATATTGTCATAATAGTGTTTAAGTTGAAGTTAATACGATAATTCCCAGATACAATATTCAGAAGTCCTCCACTGGTTATAATCAACCAGTTGTTACTATCTGACAAGCTATTCGATACCCATATGTATAGACATGTATTATATCGGAAGAAGCCATTTATGGCTGGTGGGTATTTCCACATACATGTACAAGGGTGTCTAAATAAGTCTACGCGTACGGATGACTGACCCTTTGTGAGACCCATTGTGACAGTAATCCTTTCATAGCCAGTCCGTCAGTCGTTCTCGAGCAGCTTGTTCACGTACGTATTTCGGGCGTAAGAAGTCCCACTGCATATCTATTTGTTGCTGTTGGGTTGGGCATGTTTGAGACGACCACACTCAGATATTTCGGTAAGTAAATACGAAATGTAAAATTAGAAATATATATTTACATGTAGTTGTGTGTATATTATGTCATAGTGTATAGACATTTTTCAAACATCAAGGTAACTATTTAATTCATGTCGTACTCACACGGGGCGGTGGGGAATCCAAGCGTTTGCTCGTCTTGAAGACTATGTTCCGGTGTCCCACGCCGTGATATTGCTGGAATGTTGCTAAACGCTCATGCTTATTCAAACGATAACTCTATTCCTCACCTAACGTTATATAACGGTATTTTACATGTATGTCTTCATCCTTGTTTAACTACCTTGACTGTACTCATACCCTGAATGCATAGGGGCGGTTGGGTAGCCTTGTGGTCAAAGCGTTCGCTCGTCAAATCGAAGACTCGGGTTCGATTCCCCACAAGGGCACAATGTGTGAAGCCCATTTCTGGTGTCCCCCGTCGTGATATTGCTGGAATATTGCTAAAAACATACTCACTCCTAAATGTGTACCCGACCCAGGTAGCTGTAACTTGTGAGGTGACACAACTGTTTATGATCTATACGAGTAAAACACACACTGATTACACTTCACTGGGGCGTGGCAAATAGGTACGTTTGGTAGTAAATGTCGAACTTCAAAACTTTGCTTGTGTATATTCAATGTGTGTATCTTAGTGATTGAACATATGATATTCCTTGAGGGAATTATCAAATGATCGGTCTCTTTACACTTGTTGGTGTAAATAAGGGCTTACAGTGTCCTCGTGTAATTGTTTGTTTGTTCTGCTATCAAGCATGAGGCCAGTGTGTGAGTGAATGTTGTTTTTTTGCCAGTCAGGAATAGCCTGAATTACGGCAGCCTGTACATAGAGCTGATAGCATGAACACTCAGTCGGGGCATGATGACACACTATCAGCCTGGTCAGACATTGCGATCACCCGATTCCCTTCTTAATACGACAAACATGGGGACATGGTAATCTATCCTGACTTGAGAGACTTCTTTTGTTTGTTTCCTTGATGTTCATATTGATGTAAATAAAACGTTGCTTTGCATGTTTATCATTAGGTACTTGTGTGCACAATATTCTCTGTGGACAGATAACTAAATTGCAATTCATTGCAATAAACAAAACCTAAATACTCACTATAAAACGGAGATGACGAGCAGCTTTGTTCTTGAATCTTCCAATGTTCACGAGGTAACGCTTTTGTTAGGATACATTAATTTTTATTCTAAAACAGTCTCTTTCAGCCGATATGTAAACCCTCCGGGGTACAACAGGTCTTCAGCAACTCATGCTTACCCAAAAAGGCGACTATGCATGTCGTAAGAGGCGACTAACGGGATCAGGTGGCCAATTGCCTGGATCGATGCTCATGATATCAATCACTGGATATAGCCTCGATTATTTACATACAGAGCGCCGTCTTACAGCTGGAATATTACTGAGCGCAGCGTCAAACAAACAAACATTTTATATTTATTAATAGCTGTCGCAAAGCTTGAAACTAAGTCGCCTTGCGAGTCCTGCGAGTCCGGCATATACTGTGGAAACACACTTTGGGTAACGCAGCCCGTCTTGTACGTGCGTCGTGTACACATACACATACACATACCATGTTGTAATAAATGGGGATTTTGGCACTGGGCCAGACTTGTCAACACGCCAAACAGCAGAGTCACTAAGACCTTGGGCACTTAACATTCTACTAGCTCAGAAATTGAGCCGAGGCCCCTTGCCGCGGCAGTAAGAGAAAGACTGATGTCAGTGTATAACACAAAGTTGTGGGACAAGCTACAGTCAATACAAGGGGCGAGGGGAAGAAATAAACTGAGAACCTACAGGCGTTTCAAACACCATTACGATACGGAAGATTACGTGAAGAAACTACTGAGTCGTTGCCACAGAAGTGCGCTCGCTAAATTTAGATGCGGAGTAGCCCCATTAAAGTTAGAAACTGGCCGCTATTCTAATATTCCAGCAGAAGAGCGATTTTGTTTTAACTGTAGAGACTGTGTGGAGGACGAGATACACGTCTTACTTTTATGCCCACTATATAATGATGTGAGAACAGATCTTCTTAAACGATGTACTTTTACCGATCCGTATTTCAAAGGCTATTCCTACTGTGAGCAATTTACACTACTTCTATCCAGCTCCGATCTCACCTTTTACGTGGCCAAAACCTGCTATGATATTTTATTGAAGCGCCGATCTATTTTATATTCATATATTCATATATTGTATGTATACTCATTTTAGTATATAAGTTGGTTTTTTGATCATATCGTCTCTCATAAGTCGTTTTACGACTGGCCGTAAGTTTTAAGCATGTTTTGATTTATATGTATACTGTACAATCTACCTTATGGGTGAGACGCAAATAAATTATTGTCTTGTCTTGTCTTGTCTACACACAAGGGTTTGTGAATGATAGTAACCACGTCCCCGATCTAAAGAATGCCTTGGCGTTGGATAAAACTAGAATTTGTTTACATCGTTTAAGTTTCATTTCACGTGTAGCCATGCCGGCTGATGGTCTGAAAGTTTATTTGTCTGATATTTATCTTTATCCCAGCCTCCTTCTCTGGTCCTAACAAGCTGTATGTAAGGGATGGGAACTTTTAAATCCGTTTTCATCGCGTTAAGAAATGACTCGCGTCGCAAGATGTCTATTCGCTTCAGCGACTTTTGAGATACAAACTCAAACGAAACTAGGCTGGGGTCTACAAGCATGAATACCTTTGGTATGTTAATTTGGGGAAAGGTACCAGTAAAATGACCATATGATCGATCACCGTTTAGGAGGAATCTGCTAAAATAAAGAGCATTTAAAAAATGCATGATTTTTTTATGTGCCATATGAGTGAAAAAGACTTAATTGCTACGTATAGACTGTAATAATTATGAAATCTGTCCATTAAATCCTTTAAAATTGAAATTGGTTGGAGGTTTTGTAAAGGTATGAGACGCACATATGAAGTGAGCACGCAGACGCTGCAGAACACGCAGGGAAAGCAATATTTTACGTTCGCTTCATCGGGTACCATTCATCATTCCTCACAGCGACCTGTTTCTTACTGCCCCACACATGCTCTGACCAAGCTTCCGGTGGAGGTTCACGGGACGCAACTGTTGAACATGAATAATACCATATGTTGACGGCAAAATTTATGCCACCAGAAACAGTATTTTGTGTTTGTGTGTTAAGAAAGATAATGTAAGATCACTCAATTATTGTCCAAAATAATGACAATTATATTGTTTTTTTATAGTAAACGTTCAGCTAAATCTCACGTGCGTATTACGACCAACTGGTCCCTTTAAATTAAGAGATTATTTTTGTCTATATAAAAAAATGCAATTTTGTCAGGTAGAAACCTCTTCAATAAACATTCAAAAAAAGACAATTTTGATACCAGATAGGTTTCTGTCAATGATACATGTTTATGATGCGGAAAAAACATTTTTTCATGATAATTATTTCAAAGTTATCTTACTCTCAAACGATTAAGTCATGTAACTTTAAAAAGAATCATTAAATAAGTATCTGCTTCCATGAGAAACGCTTACTATTACAATATTGATGATGAGAGTTTGGGTGGTATTCAAGACTGACAATTGGTAAAGGGAATTATACTGTTATACTGTTTTTTCATTTAGCAAGGTTATACGTACCTTTGCTCATAACAAGATATATGCAGATGAGCACACAGTAAGTTCCTAACAATTACTGTTTTATGGCAAAAAGAGAACACAACAATGTCAGCACACGTTTTCTCACTTAAACATATTTCTCTATTCTAATAATACCATTCTTTGTCAAGGAACTACGACGTCAGTTTTAAGCGATTTAGCTCAAGTACAGGCACTGAATAATATTCTGTGTATTGTAACCTGTTTCTGTAAGGTACTGCCAGGATATCCACAATCCTTGACTTGTATCATATATATGGTGGAGGGAAATTGAATACATAAGTTTGGTTATCCACGAATTACTGGAAAAAACTGAGTATTACAAACCCTAGTAACTTAGTTCATTACAACTGGACAAAGTCAATACTAGATCGATAAGTGTCCCGAAACCACTTACTGTCGGAACCTGAGTTTCGAACCTGATCAAGCCAGTAGCGGGGCAATCGTGACCGACTTAACGAAACCTGGAGGGTGAAGACGCGATATCTAGAAAAAACCCTCTAAATATACAGCATGCTGACATGAGGGAGAACAGACTCTTTTGGATCGCCGGGAAATACAACAGACTTGGGCGCCTAGCCAACATGTGTTTCTATACACGGGGGAAAAATAATAGCAAAGTAACTACTACACCTAACCTGAAGATGTAATTATCAAAATAAAGCGCTGAACATATGTTATGAAAAGGAATCGTAGTTACAAATTCATTTTCAATACTAGAATACGGCAGAGAACATACAAGAGATAACATATATCAAGACAATACATGGTTTGAGAATGCCTTTAGGTCTCAAGAGAATGACATTTTGGGGCCACTAATTTTCTAACATAGAATGTACTGACACCGTATCACGACGACCGCCGGATTTTGCCGGGCGGTGTCGGAAATAAAGCCTGGGAGCTGAGCGGTACAAGTGGTACATTCGTCACCACTCGCCCCTTTCCGTCACCTGCAAGAAGACTCGTGCGAAAATACGACAAACCAATCAGAATGCGCGTATGATTTCAAGTTCTTCGTCAAAGAATCCCTCACAAATAATTTTTGATTTTACATGTGTCTTGCATCTAAAAATATACCAAAGAACAGTTAAATGTGTTCAATCATACTGTATAATTCTGCATGTCCAGATGTGCTTTAAATTGCATCTAAATATGCATATTAAATATATATAATATATGGGGAAGTATATGTGAACCATTACGCAACGACTTGACAACTGATTAGGTATGCCCGTTTGCGCTAAGACGGAACCCGGTCGCAAAAATGGCCATGAGAGGGGCACGAGTCGCTATTCGGGTTGTCCCGGAATAACACGAGTTGGTCACGAATGCAAGTGGTAGTTTTGGCTGTGGCTTCTCCTACAGAGAATGTACTGACGCCGTGTCACGACGACCGCCGGACTTTGCCGGGCGGTGTCGGAAATAAAGCCTGGGAGCTAAGCGCTGCAAGTGGTAGTTGTGGCTGTGGTGGCTGAGCGTATTAAGGTGGTGGTGGTGGTAGGTGATAGTGGTGGTGGCGATGACGATTTATGGTGGTTTTCTTTCCTCGAGAAAGTCATCTCACATTCTGGACATGTGAACTCCATGGCTGACAGAATGCACTACAAGTTCGCTACTTATACTTATTTGAGATTGTTCTCTTGGATCCAGCTCTCTTTCCACTATTGAGAACTGAAAAAGAACCACATACTAACAATAGGCTTATCTGCTTTCGGCATTTCGTTTCCGTAAAAACTGTCCTTAGTCGAATTCTCTACCATATCTTTCAGCAGGTAGATAGGCATACCACTACTGAAGCACCGTCTCCTTATGATGAATATTTCTTCTGTCCAATTTTCGTGATAGTCTCTTTGAAAGGCATGTCTTAGAAGACACAGTCTCACTTGGTCTCCAAATTAAATTTTAAAGGTTTTTTTCCTAGGCGTATATTTGGTTATGGCTTTTGGTTTGAGAACTTTCTTCACCAATGTGTCACACGTTTTTCTTTCCATACAATAGCTTCATTCTTCTTATTAATGTCAGTAGGTAATATTTCATTTAGTGATCTATGCGGCCTGTGTTTATAGTCTTCGACCTCATCTTGCAAGATATCTAGGTAATGGTAAGTTTATATTGTTTGTAAGTAAAATACCTGTACATGTTTTTTAAGTGTTCTTATCACTCGTTCAGCAGAGGAAGCTTAAGTTTCAATTAGTCACATAAAAGGTAAAACCCTTACTTTGTAAATATGTTCGCCTTCTTATTGTCGAATTCCCGTCCTTAAAATCGTAGGCAGTGTTGCCTGAGAGAGTACCCAATTTAAGGATTGAATGACTCAAGGTTTTTATCTTTCAACTCTCCGACCCACAGATACCTTGTAAACAGGTTGATAGCTATGAATAGGTATCATATTCCTTCGGGTCACGGGTGGCCAAGTCGTCTAAGGCGCCGCGATTCGCTATGCAGAGTTGTGTCCCTTGGGCACGCCACAAACCTATGATTGTGGGTTCGAATCCCGATTCGCCCCGATTATGTTTCTAGGTTTGTCAGCACCATACCCGTGGTCGTGGGTTTCACAGAAGTGGTAAACGTCTGAGACCTGCATCACTTCGGGCTTTCCTCACACATTAAGCTGACACGCAGCTATATAACTTGAATACTGTTAAAAGCGGCGTTAAACCCAACTCTCTCACTCACTCACTATATTCCTTCATTTTCAGCCGATGTCCATATGTCCTCATATTCAAGAGATATAAAGTGGGTTCAATGGACAAACGAACATATTGTTCTTTTGTGTGAATCGACGCTCATGAACGCATCACATGAGACGTCATAGATCCATGACTCGAGATGCACTGTTTGTCTCGTGCAGGATTAGCGTGTAAAGTTTGGAAATCACGTGCATCATATCGTGATAAGAATAAAGACGCTCTGTGGAAACACTTGACTGATTGTTATTTTTGTCATTAAGTGGTACACATTGGAGACATCTCTTCTTTACCTACATCCTTGTGTGTATGTCTCTTTTGCTGGAGTTTCTTTTGGCGCCGAGTGCACTGATCATTACAAGAGACTTAGAATGGGGGATCTTCGCCCTTCCATATAAAGTAAAATACGTTTATAATGAACACGCTTATAACGAACTGACGGATATTACAAACTTAATTCTTGGTCCCGTCAATTTGCTGTATAGATGTTGTATATTTGCTTAAAACGAACTGCGGTTAAAACGAACTACAATTAGTGGTCAATTTGAGTTCGTTATAACCGTAGTTTCCTGTATATGGAAGGGCGAAGATCCCCCATTCTTAGTCCCTTGTTATGAACTGTTCGCTGTGAAGCATATCTTGCTTGACTGTGTGGACATTTCTATCGCGAGGGATGATTATTATCATTCAATTTAATTAAAGGGTAGTTTTGATGAATAAGTTAGTGTTTAATTCTTGTTTTTAAGAGACATTAAATTATTTGATATATTTTAAATTGGTATGGAACAGTGTGATATTATTGGCTGGATAAATGGTTTCCGTTGATGTTTGCTGATAATGTTACATATACTTCTTATAGAGTAAGTGGATTACAATATCAACTGAATATTCCAAATGCCTATTGTTCAGCGTGGAAGTTAAATGTAAACCTTCTTAAGCATGATCGATATGGTTTCGCAATGAAATTGAAGAAGTTGAATAAGCATATAAGTAGCTTAAAACTATTGATGACTCCATCTTTAAATTCAACAAGAGCAGTGTCACATTTGGCGATAAAAGGGAAAAGGTCATGAGTAAATGCTTTTAAATTGGTTTAGACGTGGAGAAATCCCTCTTCGGATATTTCTTAAATATTTGATTACAAAATTAATCCCATCCTTCTTTATGGGTGCGAAATATGGGGACATTAAAGATGAGAGGTAGTAGAAAGAACAAATCTCTAGCATGTTATTATTATCTTGGTAAAGGAAATTAAAACTCCCAAAAGGGGAGGGAAGCCATTGTTTATAAAGCCAGAGCAGAATTTCTAAACTACTAAATTGCTAAAACTACTTCATATGCCATCTCATAGACTCCCCCGTAAGTCATACGAAATGCAATTTAATCTCGATTCATTAGGTAGATAGAACTGGGCAACTAATGGTAGATATTTTCTATTTGGTTCAGGCCTTACCCAGTTGTTGGATGATGTCTAACTAGTTTTCTTAACCTTTTCCAAGCGAGATTGAAAGACATGTACAGCCTCAAATGGACCACCATGTTATCATATAGTATTAGATATGCATGTTTTATAACATAAGCCTAGAAGCAGAGACATATTTAATAGATCTGACCTTGTGTACTTTGCCACAGATTTTGCTCGTGCTCGAGTTGGATGAATAATACTTAATATTGATACCGGGAGAAATAAAATTCCAAAATCTAAATGATGATGTAATTGTAGTAACCTAAACAAGATCTGTGTCATTTAAACTTCATATGCCGATCGTAAAAAGGCATTCGAAAGCAATATACATTCCCAATAAATATACGAATCGATGTATACTCCAACAATATATTCGCCTTATGCCCTCAACAAATCTTCAGCATGTACAATCTGTTATGTGATGTTTCAAATATGCCTCCGGGAGCAGAAATGAAAGATGTGAATCTACTTGTAAAATGATTGTACAGTGCACTGTATTGTACGCACTTGGGTCTATGACCTTCTTAGAATATAAACCTTTGAATTTGCAAGGAATGGGCATATTATCAGATATTTTTACGAGAGGCATATGTAGTTATTTTGTTTTTAGCAAAAACAAAGCTTGATTATTGTGTTTGAAGAAAGTCTACCCTTTTCACTCGTAGTTCGATCCCATAGCAACTGCATTGAAAAGGATCATAATCTTCTAGCATATATAAGTGCTCACGACACCTGGAGCAAGATCTACATTATGATACATCTCCATGTAGGCTAAATATCGATATAAAGACAATTGTTCCCACATCCCTTTCTATTAACTGTCAACTTGGTAATTAGGATGTCCAATGTCAATAGAATCATTATTTCTTTCCAGGTCAAGCGAAGAAAGATACATACTCATGTTCGGAAATGTTCACGTTATGCATACTTGTGACCGTCTTCAGTGAGTATAATGTTTCATTCATTGTCAATATTACCTACATCTTTTTATTCGCTTATTTATTTCTATAGGAGAGAACATAAAGCAAAAGTAGGCTTTCATTTACAAATATACTGCCGGAAAAGAAGGCATACACCAAAGTGTGATGGTGGTTAAATATGAAATAAACAAGAAATGGTTATTCGAAGGGGATTTATTTGATGCGGACATCATAATTTTGTTGTGGACCTTAACGTTGCAGTGTTTTATACCGTTCATAGTCTTTTGGTCAAATCTAGTATTGGCCCGGCATTTTATACTGGTGCAAAACAACAACGACAACCAACCAAACAATATACTGAACCATTTTACTGATACACACATTCACTATTGTACTTAACCATGTAAAACTGCATAATGACAGGAATACTGTACTAATCTCAGTTGTCAAGTCATATATTATCCTTACTATGTGTTAGATTTTTTGTTTATATACAGAATAAACTAATTAGAATGTAGTGTCAATGTACGTGTTACTTTTGCAACCACCAGAAATATATATATATCAGTAAATAAAAGCGACAAAACCCTTTCCATAAAGAAAAAACAAGTTGTGTCTGCTACTCTATATTGTTTATGTTCCTCTGTTGCAGTACCGAGCGTTTGTGGTAACAGCTGGTGTTCCTGGGGCACATATGGAGACGCATGTGACAAAAACTGCAGTGCGCACTGTCGTCCTCGTCCTAACACAAACACTGTTCACTGTCACATAGAAAGTGGGAAGTGTTCAGAAGGATGCGTTGCAGGCTGGTATGGTGATGAATGCAACAAAGTGTGCAGCAAGAATTGCATGAACAACATCTGTAGTCACGAAGATGGAACGTGTACAGTTGGGTGTAAAGATGGCAAAAAGGGAAATTTTTGTGAAGGTATGACATTACGAATGTAATTAAGGTACACATAGCAAATTTGCTGATGCATTCTGAAGTTACATGTGTAGAAACGATTGAAAATAGTTGAGTGACAGATGACCTTCCCCTGTATATGTTTAACATACTTTGACACAAATTCAATCCAGCGTGCCTGAGTGAATAATGTAGCAGCATCAGTCGTGTAGTCTGGTGGCGTTATTGGCCATGTTAAAAAGCGAACTAATGTTGTTTTACAAAACAGTTAGCAGGACCCAGCGACCTTGTGGTTGACATCATGAGAAAAATAGACGCCGCTGGAGCCCGATGACACCACACTTGCCATGTCATATATTATTACCACACGATCTGTATCACAAGTAATAGTTTGCTTTGAGTCAGTTATTTTTTGTCCGACCGGGGTATCCATTTGAAACTACGGCGCGCGCGCGCGCACACACACACACACACACACACACACACACACACACACACACACACACACACACACACACACACACACACACACACACACACACACCTAGCAAGGATATATTTTCATACTATAAGTTATCTATCTAGTTAAAATAGTCCATGTCTTTTCTGCACCCTTTTACTTACCAATGTTGATGTTGCAGAACAAAACATGAGCGAGTCCTGGGTTTTTGCCAGTGTTTCACAAGTATTGCTCTAAAGCTATAATGATGTACTCCACTATTGTAATTACGTTTGAATGTATCTGTTGTCACAATCAGCAAGTTCGCTTTACAACAATTTGGACTTTGTGTAAAACAGAGTAGTCATGTACCTGGATGCACATCTGTGTATTGTGGGCGTTCTCCTATCTTGGACCCTCGATTTCATTACTGAACCAAGAACCAGCGTCAACTGTTATTTTTGAAATAACAACAGATATTTGCAGGGGCACTCTTTTCTATTATCTGTATATATTTCAGTGGAAAACAACGAAAGGAAATCACAGGAGGGTACAGAAGATGCTTGGGGTATCATTCTCCCAATTACAGTTGTGGTGGTGACCATCTTGACTGTAATCAGTCTAGTGATTGGATGCGTCCGGTAAGCATGCACATACCAACAAATCTCTCAATGTGTTCAATGTGTGTTTATTGGGTTTAATGTAATCGCTCCTGAAACTGTTACACGTTGTACATATCCACCAGCATATCCAACAAACATAAACTTCATCGCCTAAGCACCTCCCAGCAACACCATAGTTTTGGATAGTACAGGACTATCAAATCAATGTCAGTGATTTCGTGAAAACCATTAATAGAAGTACAACTACAGCGTGCATGGCAGCTTATTTTCTACTCGTTAATTTGTAATATCTACTTTAGTTACGAAGTCAACAACATTGTAGTAAGTTTTATCGTGTAATCAAGGAACATCATGGCTGACATATTCAAATATGTCTGGACACAATAAATTGACTTGGAGATGGCAAGCCTAAATTATCGAAGTGATTGTAAACATTCATCATGCATTGAACGGCCAACCTTAAGTGGAATGTACTGACTTCTTTAATTTGTTGAATTTCTTCTTTCTTTTCGTTTCAGTCTTGGCCATAATAGTAAGTGTGACATATTTTCATTTCATTTTCTAACGTACGATGCGTGATAGAAAAGCAATCATTTCTCAACTTGCAGTGATGGGTTTTTGAAACGTTTCATTAATTTCTCAATGGGAAAACGTCACTTTGCTGCAACGTGATTGGCTCAATGCTCTACATTTTATTCATTCACAAATCTACAACCCATCACTTTGACAAGAGTTAAACGCAACAACAAAATAAACACTCAATCGTCATTAAAACATGAATGTATTCTGGACATAAGAACAAACATGATTCAACAATGCTGTTGTGTATATCTTCTCTCTCTATAATCATTGCCTCACATACGGCAGCAGGGTGTAAAATAATAACCCAAGACGGCTTCGTTGGTGATACATATATTAGCTCACAGTAAATGATATTGTGAGTGACCATGCATTGAATTTTCTCTATATCACAGAAAGTACCTGCTCGTTATATTCACTTGTCTTTACATTAGACCTTGTCAGTACAACATGCATACTGCCGCAACGTATCTGAACGACCCTCCTTACTGGCACAAAGTTGTGAGCCCAGTTGTTATCTGACTACTACTCGGTACACACAAAGTGCTGTTGAACAGGAACGTCTGAAGTCTCTCTGCCAATTCCTCACCTTGTCGCACCCCAACAAATGACATTAATACTGTTTTGTAGACTCTTTTTGAAACTTTGAACAACACATTTTCAAATGAAAGAGCATGACTGTGTCGTCTTATATAGAATGGTAAGTCCCCGAACACTATACTTACCAGAGACAGCCAGGCCCCCAGCACGAAAAAAAATGTCGATTACCACCCTCAAAGTCTGTAAAAATAGAGTCACACCAGATCACGCGGCTGCTTTCCCACAAGTAGGAAAATGCACTTAATCTAAAACACACTGTCAGCTATTCATCCGACAAAAGGTTGAACTGGAATAACACGAACACAGATGGGAGATTATAGGCCATGCTGTGCACAGTTCTGTATACTGTTTGTCCTCAATAACACAATTCAGTGGACTATTTGATCACGGGCGTCATAAACATTGTATGCAATGAGAAATGTTGTGCAATAGCTAAAGGGTTGGCTCTGAAAGACTCATAGGATGTGAGTGCGTGAGTTTAAATTTAACGTCGCATCGACATCTTTTTAGCCATATAGCGACGAGAACAAGTTGATATGTACATGGGATGTAAATTAGTAATATCGCCTGATCCCTTCTATGATCTAGGTGCAAGCCTTATTTAGCTATAGTTAGACATATAGCGCAACAATGCAACATACAGTTGCTTCCCTTTGTCGTGAAAGTATCCAATGATCATGGGGTCACATCACGGGTTCGCGCTGATTACATTGTTGTTGTGCCAGTGGTTATACCAAACATGTCCGTGCGCAAAAAGTTGACACACCATATAGCGGAAATATTGTTCGGAGTGTCATTAAATAAAGGTAGCATAGTCAACATAAGATCATGAATTCATGGTTTGTTCGTACCTGTTCCATATTCTGCTAATCACAGGCTGTCAAACATTGAACGCTTGGCCACTGTAAGCTGCATTTTGCCAGTTTCCAGCATGCCTTTTTCCTGTTGCAAGATCCGTATCACTTGTTCTAAAACAAACAATGAATGAAATCAAGTAAGTCATATCTGTGTGATAAGTCGAATAAAAGAACAACGCACGTGCAAACTATAGAATTTGTTTTTATAGATATACATGTTCTTGCATAGGATTTTTGTCGTCATAACTTATCTTTGTTCTAACACTTGGTACTAACATTAATATTTCATGATGCCCTACTTTTTTAAGAGTGGATACTTGTTCTTCACGATTGAACGCGTATAAATAACATCGTTATCTCCTTCCCAACAGGGCGAGGACCAAGTACTGTGAAAGGCGGTGGTCATGAAACCTCATCCTTCATACCGAATGTGCCACAGGAAGTATAGAGATTTTACAAGTAATAGTCAAAGTGTGACAGCCTCCATCGTTGCAATACGTAAACATCAAATGGAGACCGATGTCGAACAGACATCATATGGATGAACAGTTTTATCTGAAGACTAATTACACTGTAGCCATGGCATGTATATATCTAGAATCACTTAATCACAACAGTTAATTCCCATTGACTTTTAGGCATCCTGAACGAGCTGTGTACCTATGTCACTACCCATTATTACTGTTGTTTATATTTATGGCTTAATCCGTGTCATCTGACCTTGAACATGGAGACACTCAATTGATAGCAGTACTTGGGCCGAGGCATAAACACTGACACCACCCAACCCCCACCTTCCACACACACTGTTTTCAAAAATTATATTTCTTAAACGTTTTTCTTTACTAAGGTGCTGTAGAATCGCTGCACGTTTACACAACAGGCTTAATTCAAAACCAATTAATCGTTTCAACAAAATCAGTAAATGCACCATTGTCTCACTAGATTTGTTCGTTCATCGACCCCTTGTTTGATCACAGGCCGCCATCACATTGCAGGAGTATTGCTGTACAGCGTCAGACAATAAATACTTACTTATTTGTGTGAGTGGCGGGTTCTACCGGTAGGGCAGGACATGCTTTCCCTTTTCGCTAACACCTGGTATCATCACCGGTTTTAGATTGCCCAGCCATATCATTTTCACAACTATTTAGCCTTTTAAGCCAAATGGTATCTGTTTCAGTGGATAATCAAGACTGGTTAATATCTTGCATTGGCATTTTATATTAACCGGTTCGAGAGTCGAGGTGAAAATAAATTATTATGACTGACTGGATATTAAAATAAGTCAAACTTGAAAATATTTTCTCCACGCGGCCTTAAAATAGAATGTACTGAATGTAAAGGTCACGCGTGTGTCGTACAGGGATGAAATCTTCTGTTTGTTTTGATTGGTTATCCTTTACCCTTTTAATTGTTACATGCTAAAACTATGTTTTCATTTATATAGGATATGTAACACTATGTCTTGTGGGCCGCTGGCCTCCATGTCTTTTTGAACACATGATATCAGATCTGGGGCTCTTTTATTTGACATTCTGCACAAAGAGGTCATGCAGATAACCTTTATCATGAGGAAGATTCTTTTTTTTCAAATCATTCAAAATCTAACGTGCCAAAATTTAGCAACAGGTGAGGTGAAATGAAGCTTAATGCCGCGTTAACGTCGCGTGCAAGATTATTGTTGCGACACTCGTGTACATGTCCGTCTGTCTGTCTACTTGTACTAGTCCCGAATGATGCCGGTTTTCTAGTGCCACTGAGATACCATGCCACAGTTTCACATGAATACTAGGTCGGCGTCGTAGCCCAGTGGTTAAAGCGTTCGCTAGTCACGCCGAAGACACAGGGTTTGATTCCCCTCGTGGCTTCACTGTTTGAAACCTTTTTTCTGGAGTCCCCACTGTGCTATTGTTAGAATATTGCTAACAGTGAATTAAAATCATACTCACTCACTCATTCACGTAACCTAGCTATCCAGCTCAGACACAGTATACTTCGAGCCGACCAGACCACAGTTTATCTCTTTAATGGCGAGCGCCAGGCACGGTATCTTCAAGTATCATACTTTAACGTCTTTAAGTATGAATCCACTAGACCACGTAGGCGGTCGCCTGCAAAACAAAGAACATTTACATTTAAATAGCGTGAGAAAAACCGTTAGTTTCTCAAGAATCACCCACGCACCATCCTGGAGTATGTCGCCTCGCATGGAGTACCGGGAAACCGGCGACAGTTACAAGTCAAATGCAAACAACAGAACTTAACATTATGGGAAGGCTTCAACAAGTTATCGATATCATAATCTCGTGTTGGTGGACAAGGCTCGAAAAAAAGACACCAAATGTCGTCGTAGCTTCGCGGGCGCGGGCGCGGCCGTTTAAATGAAAGTACAGTGCATTGTGCGTCATGAATTACCCTCCCTGTCCCTATTCCCCATGCAGCTCTCCTACGTAATGAATACTAACTCACTTCCTCAAAGAAGCGAACTGTATGCGGTCGACACATTTGGAGTACGCATCATTATATCATCTGAGCTTTGACATATAATGCTTGTACGTTTCACTGACATTCCAACTTGATCTATGTCTTCACGAGGTATCTAGCTGTAATATGTATTTTTGTATCATTTTATGTTTACAATCCGACACCACATAGTTGACTCAACTGTCTCCTAGTGTTGAGCGCCATGGCAATACCTGCATAACGGGAGTCTGGCTAATTTGTTAACTGTTCTAATGTTTTATATTATGTTATTACATTTGTGTTTTTATAAATATAGCCGACATGTATCAACAACGTGTTTTGTTAGCTTCTTTTTTATTGTTTTTTTATTAGTTATCTATGTTCGTGTTAACATTAATATATCTCCTAACTGGTCTGTCTTGCACAGGGTTTGTGTAGGCTCCGCTTGGGGGAAAATACTTGATATGTTTGCCAACTGTACATGTGCATTGTGTAAGGTGTGATTGGTAAGTGTGTCAAACACAGTGAAACTATTGCTCTCTCAGTATATCATACAGTTGTACATTTGTTATCACAATTAAATGTCATTTTTGGTTACATATTTATTAAGAGGGTCATGATTATAACTTTGCATTTTACGCATTGTGTCATTTGGAGTGTTTGTCGATGTATGAACAAGAGGTGTGAGCGACTATTGTTATTTCATGGACCTATATTGAATGATTATGTTGTTGTCACTCATTAAAACATCATCCTACACCCGTGTTGTGAGTCTTTTTATTTCAAGTCATCTCCAGTACTTACATTTCGAGACTGGAAAAGAGCTTCACACTTTTTACAGATATGGAGACCCGAACCGAGTCTTGTAATGAGTCATACGGCATGGTGACTTAAAAGGGAACAGAGCTGAATCCAAGTTGTTGTTTCCCCAAGAGTTGTATTATTGGCAGTTCACACAAATCAATAAGGGCACCGTTGGTGAAAGTAGAGGTTCGTCTATACACTTGTCTCACGCCAATATTACCTACAAGGGGAACGCAAGAAGTTGACTATTCTTAATAGAAGTATAATGTCATGTTTAGATTGAGTCAGATTGACTATACGATCTGCTATACAATGTAAACGGCTGGGACCACACTTCGGTGATTATTATCTCCGCGTGTGAGTGGGAAAACTACGTGGACGTTGTAGATCTGTATGTCCTGGAACCACATAGTAATAGATTGCAGATTCAAAATTGTGGATCTGACATTAAGAAAATGAAAAGATGGGTTGGGCTATGTGATCAGAATCCGAATAAGCCACTTGTTTTGACTTTGGCACCAATGTGTAGAGTGTGAACAGAAACAGGATGCATCAGGTAAACCACGGCTCCACCGGGACACACGCTCACGACAATGAAGGGAAGTCCCTACTGTGACCTAATAGTAAAGCATTTGAAAAGATAGATGGGGTCGCGGCACAATAGTACTACTCCGTCAATGGATCAGAGAAGATTTGAGCACTGGATCGATCTGTGACCTGTGCGCTGTGCACAAGACCACGTGTCACTGTCACCTTTCCATGGAGGCACGTGATCATTCGTGACCAACTCGTGCTATAACGGGACAAGCCAAATGCCTATACTTACATCATTGATCAGTATTGAGCAAGTGAAGAATGCAGAATTTTGTCCTCTTGTGACATTTTTGCTGGTCATTTACCCCCATTACAGATGTTTGTCTTGCTTGTTGTCACTGTTCTTTCGGGGAAAATGTCTTAGGCGATCGGGAGTGGACTAAGTGCGTAGAAAGGGTTTTTGATAAATAGAATAATTCTGTGACAGATGTGAATTGTTTTGTAAAAAAAGTAACTATTTCACCTACTGTAAACATGTTGGGAACTATAAACAGTTGGTTACATTAATTAGCTATTTAATTAATAGCAATATTCCAGCTCTACGACGACTGTTTGTACACAATCGAGATTAGAAAATCCAGTGAATGACATCATGAGCATTGCTTTACGCAAGTTAAAGAAACAGAGACTTTAATAGAGAATGTTTATTCTAAGCTCCAAATGCCACACATCTAGATATTTCAAATGCATATGTTACTGCAGAAAAGACGGCCTAAATGGTACATCCTAGTTTTTCGGGCATGGTGAGATAAATTAACCCAATCTCAAAGACTCACCATGTTGAATCGCATCAAACAGATACAGTTTTGAGTGGTGGCGTAATTCAGTGGAATGGTAGCAATGTAATTTGATTACGTGAGTGAGTAGAGTTTCCTTCATATCTGAGATCCGATGACCATGATGGCGGTACCAGGTAAGCACCTGATCCTTTCACAAGACACTGTAACAAGAAAGATAAGTGAAACTAGTTGTGTGATATACTTTAAAGATGGTTTAACACGTAACCAGGTAAGAACACCACCGTTAAAGACATTATGTAGTTAAATGTTCACTAAGCAGAACATATTTCGAGGTCAGCCTTATGTAGTCAGAAGTTACAAAAGCAACATCACTACTACATCATGCATTTAGATTATCCCCGCAGTTCCGCTTGTAGGTGAGATTCAATGTGTGTGAGTGCGTGCGTGTGTGTTGTTGTTGCATTAAGTGTTTAGGAGGTCGCCTTCTGCCTAGGCAATTTCGGCTGACCTGTCTCTCTTTGGGACTCCTGTGTGTGAGTAGGGTACACTTATCTATTCTGAGTTTGGTGTTCACATAATTTCTGTTTTTGCATTGATATTATTTCTATTTTCATATATTGATATGATTTCATTTCTATCCTTGGCTGCTCTGTTTATATACGTTTGAGTAGCTGTCCATCTCTCAGAAATAGAGTTAGTTTGGTCTTCGCTATTGCATCTCTTGGCTTTAGGAGATCTATGACAGATAGCGGATCTAACTGCAATTCTTGTTTTAACCTAGCTCGGGCTGGGGCATGGTCTTGACATTCTAGTAACACGTAAACAATGGTTTCAGCCTGATTTGCAAGATCCATCAGCGAAACAATGCAGTGTGACGTCAGCCTAGCAACAAGGTTGCTGGGGTCATCGACTGTGCATAAGCTCCTCTCAACTCAACTCTACACGCAATGTCGTTGAATAAGCCAAGGGATGTTGAGAGCTTTCAATATTTGCTCATGAAACGTGTTCCGAGAGTACATAAGCACACGTTTTGGTATTACACAATGTGTAATACAGCTGTATGTTTATTAAACGGGTGATCTCTTCACGCGCAAGTAATAACAAATACTAGTACGCGTGAACGATATTGCACCAGTGCACATGCGATTTTTAGTAACTCGATTTTTTTCTAACCCTATAGGTAATTAATTTTTTTTTTTGTGATTTATGAGACTTTGTTCTTGCCGTTTTGGCAATATAGTGACATGTCTTACCCGATGTATTTAATTTATTCCCCTTCATTTACTGTCCAGAATATATTGAAATTAAATATATATGAATATAAACATCAAACCATAATGTTTTACCCAAATAACTGGTAATTAAAATACCTGGAATGCAGTTTAAAGAAATAAGATTCTATTTGGGTTCTTAAATCAACATCTTCGATAACTTCAATGCAGAACCAGAAGTCTTTATTCAATTAACGTTCCAATTCGACTTTATTTTATTTACCCCAGTACGTTCTTAAATACAGTACGACACGGATATAACGAACACGGATAGAGCGAACAAACGGATGCAACAAAATCCACGATTTATCTCCTATATATTATCATATAAAATTTACGTACATAACGAACTCTCTTCAGCGAACTAACGGATATAGCGAGCTGGTATCTGATCCAAGACGAGCCTGTCTACCACAAATTAGTGAATTGTACAGCGAACTGAGAAATCTCATTCAGTGTCAAGTGTCACTGACAATCTAGTCTATATTTTGATTTTCAAATGTTAATTAAGTCGGTAGGATTACATGAGTTGGGTCGATGTATATCACGATAATGCCATGAAATAGAGTTTTGTTGTCTGATCGGTTACCGTCTAACTAACGGAAAGTTTATCGTATCTTTATTCTAAACAATAATACTTCACATACACAATGGTCAACAATATTGCTAAAATCAGTCTGCAACGCCATTTTGATAACCGCGCCCTCTGCCGGCGGCAGTTGCCAGATCATTCGATTACACCCGAGCGCCAGCGGAGAGCGCCCAGTAAGCATTCAGAAAGCGCCTCAGCCTATTGAACGCATGCCAGACTGACCATCAGGCAAGCGAACTGAAAGTGCTTGGGGTTTGGAGCTGTGGATATGGATCTTGTAACCAGCACTGTTGTTGATAGGATTCTTGGATCTATCAGTTATATATTGGCCCAGCTGTCCCAGGTAGTTTGAATTTTAGTGATAGCTACTGATCGTAGTAGGGTTGGGTTTTCGTTTTTAGTGACTTCTGATGTTAAATCAGTGTCAACTTTGGGCGTTTTTCCAACGAGCGGCACATCCTGCCGGGAGGTCGTCCCTACACCAGCACTCGGAATACCAAGCCTGACTAACACCGTAGCAACAGTGTAATGGTAGCACATTTATAGTAATGAACAAGAATGGAAAGACAATGACTTTGCTCTGGACATGGGACTTCTGGGGTGGGGGGATGAACAATTAAGGCAATAAATGTCATAGTATCAATAACAGTTATTAACAGGAAGTGATTGTAAAATTGACAGATTAATTACAAAACTCCAAACAGGACACACGAACCTAAATAACCACCCAAAAAAACTTAAAAGACACACCACAGGCAACTGCCCCCACTGCAAACAACCCGAAACCACAGAACACGCACTCATCCACTGCACCCACTACCAAATACACAGAACCACACTACAAACCACCCTCAATCTAAATAAGGTTCCTACTCCAGAGGAAATACTAAACCCTTAAAATAAACTAGAAAACTACAAGGCCCTAGGCGTATTCCTAATCAAAACAGATCTAATTAAGCGCATCTAAAAACTCGTTAATCTACCAATCTAAAATCCAATAAACATACAAACACCCACCTCACCCAGCTCCCTTAGTTCTCTCCTCAGCATTTATTCCAAATTTAACAATTCTACAAATTCTATATAAGCAACCCCTAAAAGCCCCCTCTTGGGTTGCACACACCACTTTCACCCTTTTCGGAATACACTAAATGGTCCGGCCAGGCCCGTGTGCGAAATACGCTACAGTCGGAAAGCGCACGTTAAATGTCCTATATCAGTCAGTCAGTCAGGAAGTGATAAAGTAGTCCAGGTTGGCTGTCAGTCAATATACAATGAAATGTTGGTGAGGATTAACAACGGGGATTAGCGCCTAAAACTTAATGAGAATTAAGTTATGGAGACATGGCTACAGGGTAATTTGCCTTTGGAGTAAAATGTACTTCAGGCAATAGTAGTATAGTATCAGTAGGCAGGAGCTCCTTTTGATGGATGGAAAAGTGGAGGGAGCCTGAAAGGGTCCCCCAGCCTATCGGAGCGAGCGCAAGAGACAGCGCGTCACAGGTGTGGGGGAATGAAAGGTGTGTGTGTTTATAAGGCAGAAAATAATTTGTAAGTAAACAAAAGTAAAGGGTATTCATTAGAGCTATGTGTATGGCTTGTTGCCCTGAATAGACAAGCAGCCCCATTTGAATTGAGAGCGCTTGACAACTCACGTGAGCACATCGTTTCAAATTGTTTATTGGTCATAATGGTTTCGTTAATTTCAGGCGTTAGTAGAAATTACAATTAGTG